CTGCTTCTCTAACTGTTGCTGACTCACAGAGGGCAGCCAGCCCTGCACGCCTCCTGGGAAATAGCTCACAGAAATGCCAGTACAAAGAGTGCTAACAAGAGCAGGACCTTGCTTTTGTGTGTTATTTTAGTTTACAAAGCACTTTCATATCCACTATCTGATTGACTCCCAACAGCCACCCTGTGATGTAGGTTTCATTATCTCCATTTGGCAAAGAAGGAAACAGGCTCAGAGAGGTAGAGAACTTGCCAAAGGCCACACAGCTCTTGCCTAGCCGAGCATAGACTCAAACCGACTTCTCTTGACAGGGAAGTCATTGTTTTCCTCATTGTCATGCAGCAGCTGAAGGTCTGGGAGGTGAAGTCCAAGTTCACGTGGTATTGCTAACTCACTTACCTACCTGCATTACTCTCTTGGGGCCAGGGAAAATCTGGGAGGGGGTGCTGGCTCTGAGGTTAGAGGGTTGGGCTGGACAAGTGAAATATTTCCCCTGAGTGCTTAGAAACTGCCTAATCAAGAGGGTGAGCATAGTGAAGGAGGGCAGCCAGAGATAAGAGCTGTATAAACACTGCAGAACATAGACCAAGGATTGTTTAAAGGGACCACGCAGGCAAACACTGTATGACCTTGGGCATCTCAGCCTCCCTCTCTGGGCCTCCTCTGGGAAACTAGAGGTTATACTAGATTGTCTCTAAACTCCTTCACAGATCTCTCCTTGATGGAAGGCAGCAGACAGCTCCTTGGCACTCCGGCATTTGTAGTCCAGGAGAACAGTTCCTGAAGGATACTTCCGGGAGGGCTTACCCTGGAGGCAGGGCGCTTTCAGGAATTAACACAACTCATGAGCCTCCATGAGCTTGGCCTTTATGGGGTTGAAAAGCCCCATCAAGCTCTTTTATCTGCTTGATGCAGGAGGGGTGGTCATTGGCCTGAACAATCAAATGGCCCCGACTGCCCAGGGCACCTTCCCACCATCCCACTTCTCTCCTTACAGAGAATGGTCTGAATATCTCTCTCATCATCAGCATTACTGGAGGAGGCATCATCCTTATCATCTTTGTGGCACTGCTCATTTTCTGTATCAGCAAGAAGAGAAAACAGAGCACCAGGAGAAATGGTAAACTCCCCCTGTTCTGTCCACCACAGGCCCTGGCAAATTCCTTGTAGAAACTGCTTACGGTGATGACACCTTGAGTCTGGAAAGAAAATACTGGAGCTGGGTAGTTTCAGAACGGCGAGGTTGTAACCAGTGGTTATAGTTGTTCCATTTGGTGGTTGACTTGATTTTGAAAAACAAATTCCAAGTGGTGATGATGAGGGAGTTTTGAGAAACTCCACCCAGGCCGCCCTCTTTGGAATCCACCACCCGAGGCTGACTCGAACCAAAGTTCTGTGGACATATTTTGAATGAGCCATGCATCTCTATACAGGAAGAAAGATTAGTTTTAAAACAGCATTTCTAAGAACAAACATTCTTGTCCTTTCCTGAGGGAGTGACCTAAGGTGTGTTCAGAACCAAGCTCCTAGGATTACAGGTAAAATTATATTAGGACATTCAGGTACTCACAGGAAAATAGTTGTTCTAAAACAAGACGGTTACGCCCCTTTTCCCAATTCATTGTTTGAGGAAATATGTTAGGGCTACAAGTGTTTTTTCCCCAAACAGGCCTGTCAGCAGAGGGGAGCAGGCTCAAGGAGCATCCAGGCTACCCAAAGCAATGTATTCAGAGATGCCAAACCCAGGTGTCACCCTAGGTTCGGGGTTGGGTTGTTGGGACCATATCCCCAAGGCAGGCCAACAGGGAGAGGTCCAACCCCCAGTAGGATACGCAGCCAGCCAGCCAGGCCCTTGGGTTCTGTGCAACTTGCACATTCACAGCAGGACTGGGTCCCCTCCCTCTGTCTCTTTCAGAGCAGGCATAGCATACTCACGTCAGCTGTCTCTGGCATCTCCCAAGCAAGGACCTGGTCTGAACCTCCCCAGATAATGGACACCTTTGGGCCCTGCTCTCTTTAGAGTCCCTGGGAGGTACAAGTGTTTGACACATTGCTTGGCTGCTAACTGAAAGATTGGAGGTTCAAGTCAACCCAGAGGTACCTCAGAAGAAAGACCTGGCAATCTACTTCTGAAAAATCAGCAATTGAAAATCCTATGGAGCACAGTTCTACTCTGACACACATGGGGTCACCATGAGTTGGAATCAACTCAATGGCAGCTGGGTATCCTTTGGATTTGGCTTCCTTGCTTCAGACTTCTCTCTTCAGTTCTCCCGCAGCCATTCTTTCAGGCCACGATCCCTCAGCCCCATGTCCTGCCCATTACTGCTCCCAACGTGGCCCCTGGGACATCTTTCTAAACTGAGCGCCATGCGTCTCATGACTACCCTTCACACACTTTCCAGCCCAGTGAAATGGAATTGCTTGCTGAGTCCTATGGGCACCAGTGGCTTCCTCACTCTGCACCTTGCTCAGGCTGTTCTCTGCCCATGTACCCCTGCAAAAGCCCCTTCTCCATCAAGACCATGTATTCCTCCAAGGTGGACCTTTCAAGCCACCCCATGACAAGGCAATCTCTGCTTTCACCAGGCTAAAATGACAGATATGGTTAGCTCATGTTGACAAAGCAATCACATGTGCCAGGCACTGATCTCTGTGCTTTATATACTTTATCTCATCCAATCTTAAGAGTGATCTCATGAGACAGATAATATTAATACAGATGAGGAAATGGATGCTCAGTGAGGTTAAATCATTTACCCCAAATCCTAAGGCCCATAGGTTAGGTCAGGGCCAGAACAAGGGCAGGAATGACGGTGAGGAAGCAAGGAGCCTAGGTAAGGAGGCTTTCTCCTGGGACTGATCTTGTACTTGCACAACCCTGATAGGAAGCTCCTCCTTACATTTTGCACCCTGGGTCCCTTGCTTGCCTCACACTAGTCCTGGCCACGGGTTAAGAGGCCAGGACGTTCAACTGAGAGAGAAGGACCACGAGCCTAGAGGAATTCCTTGGAGCAGTTATTTAGGCTGTGGCTGAAGTTGCTGGTATGGGCTTGCTGGGCCCAGCCATGAGGACCAACACCGATGGAGGGGGCCCTCAGTGCTGCTCTGAATGGGCAGATTGCACAAGCCATAGCTAGCCTTGTCTGTCCAACCCGCCCTGAGATCTCGCTGGGTCACAATGGGTCACACCGCTCACCACTTCCCAAAACTCATGTGGCTTTCTGTCTGCACCTCTCTGGTGGCCCTGGGCCCTAACAGGAAGTTGACACGGTGATTTGTAGTCCTGCTTTGTCTCACTTACTTGATTTTAGGTTTCCTAGGAGAGTGTTTATGTCCGCATCATCACTGCGCATAGCACCCTACCTGGCACCAAGAGGGTAGGGAATAAATGTTGAAAGAACAAGTGAACAAAAAGGAGGATGAATATACTCATCCATAGAGAGAAATGAAGTTCTGATACATGCTATGACCTGGACAAACCTTGAAAACATTATGCTGAGCAAAAAATTAAACCCCAAAGGACAAATATTATATGATGTTACTTATATGAAATATCTAGAACAGGCAAATGCATAGAGACCAAATTTATAAGTGGTTTACAGGGGCAGGGGGAGGGGAGAAATTGGGAGTTATTGCTTAAGGGGTACCAGGTTTCTATTTAGGGTGACGGAAACCATTTGAAAATGGATAGTGGTGATGATTGCACAAAATATCTCTGAATCGTACGCTTAAAAATGGTTAAAATGGAAAATACTTTGATATACCTTATTGCAATTTATAAAAACAAAAAATGAGAATTAACAGATGAGTAAGCAAGTGACCAGCCCAAACTTGCCGTGCAGGGTGAAGAAGGACTTCCTTTTGTCCCACAGCCAGGACCTGGAATTAGGGATGCAAGTCCTCCCCACAGCCTCCCAGACATGACCTCAACTGCCTAGGGGAAGCTTGGTGGCACAGAGAATAAGCTTTTTCCTTTCTGTGCTCTTGTCTTTTTGTTTTTAGAGCATACCAGCCACTCACATGTCAAAACCACATGGTCTGATTTTGGGTCTTAACATTCAAAGCAGTCTGGTGCTTGAATTGTCAGCAGTCAGAGGAGGCGGTTTGCACTGGCAACATCACCCCCAAGTCACTGAATGATGCTCAGAGAGGGCCTGAGCGTCCTAAGGTGCTCATCCCTATAAAGATGTATGAGATCACTAATTTACCCTGAGGAGAATCTCCTCTTCCGGCCTCCCTCTGAAGTCATGCAGCAAGGATGGCCTTGGGCTCAGTGACCAGAATATCTAACTTGTAACCTAAAGGAGGCCAGAGGGGACCAGTGGGGCCCTCCACGCCTGTGGCAGCTGAGCATCCTCACAAATTTCCTGTGTGATTTTAAGGCAGCAAATTAAAAACTACATTACTCTTACTATGGGCCTGTCTTCACAGACTGAAAGCAAATGAAGCAGAAAATCCCGGAGGGGCTGAGGAGAGGAGGAATTCTTTCCCTTCCAAGGCCAAGAGGATGTGATTAGCTTATAAATTTCTGAGGAACTAGTAAATTTCTGAGGACTAAAAAATCCTCTCATGTATACTCCAAATCCCAGAATGTGGATGCTTTCCAGCAGAATTTGAGGAAAGGCAGATCTAACATAGAAACCCATTTGAAGGAATTTAGTAACTAATGGTGCAAACAGTTAAAGCGCTTGGCTGCTAACTGAAAGGCTGAAGGTTTGAGTCCACCTAGAGGTGCCTTGGAAGAAAGGCCGGATGATGTACTTCCAAAAAATCAGCCATTGGAAACCCTTTAGAGTACAGTTCTACTCTGACACACATGGGGTCACCATGAGTTGGAATCGACTTGAAGGCAACTGGTTATCTTCTATTGTGGGGCAGTGGTGGTTCAGTGGTAGAGCAGCCACCACCCATCTGTCGGTGGAGGCTTGAGTGTTGCTGTGATACTGAACAGGTTTCATGAAGCTTCCAGACTAAGACAGACTGGATGAAAGGCCTGGTGATCTACTCTGAAAATCAGCCAATGAAAACCCTATGGATCCCAATGGTCCAATGTCATACATAGTGCATGAGGTCATCATGAGTCAGGGGCCAACTCAATAGCAGCTAATAACAACAATGTCCTCTATTACTGCAAATAGTTTATCACTAGGGGCTCTAACCATGAGGTGTTGGCTTTCTGGGCTTGGCCTCCAGGATGGTGTAGAGGCAGGGCTCTGGGGTCCGAGGGCTCACTCTGCTCTCAGGAGACCCAGGCACATAGCTCTCCACCCAGGTCTTCTTTCCTCTGGTTCCCTTAGTTCTCTGAAGCTCTGGGTTCTCTCTACTTTGCTGGTGTGTGTTTGTCTCCTCTACAAGATCCGGAGCTCTCAGAGGGTAGGGGCAGCTTCAACTTCCTCACTGTATTCCTCAAAGCAGCTAACATGACGCCTTCTACACAAGAGGCGCTCAATAAGTATTTCCACTGATGGCATCTTACCACAGTGAACTCTTGAGAGGTTTTATTGTTGCAGATGAAGAGCTGGAGATAAGAGCTCACAGAGTAACCACTGAAGAAAGGGTCCGGAAGCCCCACCAAATTCCAGGCTCCACTTCTCAAAAGCCAGCAGTTTCCCAACCTCCTCCACCGCCTAGTCATCGTTCCCAGGCACGTGGTCATCGTCCCCCGCCCCCTGGCCACCGTGTCCAGCACCAGCAGCAGAAGAGGCCTCCTCCTCCTTCAGGCACACAAGTGCACCAGCAGAAAGGCCCACCCCTCCCCAGACCTCGAGTTCAACAGAAACCTCTCCCCGGGGCTGCAGAAAACTCATAATTCTGTCTCCTGAAATAGGTAACCCCTTTCTCTAATTGGAGTCCTGGTGGCGCAGTCGTTAAGAGCTCAGTTGCTAACCAAAAGATTGGCAGTTCGAATCCACTAGCCGCTCCTTGGAAACCCTGTGAGACAGTTCTACTCTGTCCTATAGGGTCCTCTAATTACAAAAAGGTTGTAGAAACCAGTCCTTTTCAACAAAAAGTACTATGGAATGTCTTTACTCAGGTATGCACACTTGTCCTTCCATCAAGTGTTTTTGACATGTAGAACGTTACCGCCTCCAAGGTCATGTCTGAACCTTCTAACTCAGCCACATGGTCTAACATCTCCAGTCTTTGCCTCCTCAGAGAGCTCCATCATGCCAGGGGACAAACAAGAAAATTGTGCTTCTTGGGAGGTTGGGTGAGCGAGCACAAAAATCCCAGAGCTCTTTGGTCTCCCTCTCAGACCATGTGCAGATTTGTGAAGTCCACTGATGGTTGTGCCTGCGTCTAACTAAAAGCAGCTTATCTGCTGGGGACTCTTGGGTTTCACATGTGCCCTGGTATGCACTTGCCCATGGTTTTGTAAGTAGACGTGAAATAAAAACTTTGACATATCCCCAGTGTCTGCTCATTGTAGACAGGAACCCAGCATGGAGGAGAGGAAGCTGCTGAATGAGAAGGAAGCTGGTTGGTATAACGACAGGGTTAGATTTGGTCATTCCAAGTGACCTGGACACCTTAACCCCCATCAGAATAACCAGCCTATGCTCCCCAGATCTCAGCAGCAAAGCTGGGTCCAATAGTCTGCTTGTATAATGAACTGAGATCTCTAGGCACAAACTCCAACAAGAAGCAGCAGAAAATGTAATCATTTGGATCTCACTTCCTTGATTGCTCCAATAGAGCCACAATGATTCACATGGTCATCCCTGAAAAGAGGGGAATCCACAAATGCTGGAGGAGCCATGAGCCTGTCAGACAGTACACAAAAGGACAGGCTAAGACAGAACCCAGTTGAATCAAATTCTACTTGTCTTAAAGGACCATTATTAAAAGCTCAGACCCCATCCCCAGCTATCAGTCATGCTAGCTGAACTTTGGGGAAGTGGAGAGAAAAAACAGTTTGCAGTTAAAGTTCTGAAACAATAGGCAGAGAGAAGGGACCTGCTTTGAAATGCTGGTGCCATGTTTGTGGTCCCATCAGCCCGCCTTCTCCCTGGCTTCTTAGACTTGTGAAGTCTTGTTAAGTTCTGGCAGGAAGCTCTGAGGTCTAAACCACAAAGTCTAAATACACTCAAGGCTTCCTGTGAGAACTCACTGAAGGTTGAACTGCTTTTTTCTCTGACCCTGAGTGTCTATTTTTTGGCACCCGCAGTTAATTATTAAGGACAATGATCAATAAAACTCGATAGCCTCCTGAAATTCAAACACAAAATCCAGCCAGGTAACAACCATCACAGGATCTACCAAGTTGCAGAGATGAGGGTCCTAGAGTTACCCCCTTCTCATTCCTTATTGCATTGGGAGAGTCTGTTGGCCATCCTACCAGAATAGCTCATATCCCATTCTCTTCCCTTCTCTGATCTTTCCAGCCCTGTCCTCAGCCTTTCTTTTGAAATCCTGTGGCATTGCATTTGGTACAGAACATATATTCAATCTTTCATCATTAATTCATTCAACAAAAATTTATTGACCCTCTAGTACATATCAGGCTCCATGGTAGGCACTAAAATCACAGAGGTGCAAGACTGTCTTTGCTTTCAAGGAACTGACAATCTAGTTGGAGAGGATGCAGACAAATTACAGGACACATGTAACACAGTGTGATAAGTATGGGACAGAGGCAAGCACAGGAGGCCAGAGGAAGGACCTTGAATCCAGATTGAGTGGTGGGACTTGGGTGATACAGAAGGCTTCCTGGAGGAGGTGACATTTGGGTTGTAATAGATTAGTAGTACTAGTGAAGCAGAGGTGCAAAACTATCCGTGCAGAGGGAACAGCAAAAGCGAGGCTCACATTAGCCACCTGCTTACACATGTATGCTGTTCCTTTGTCAACTGTTGCGTTTGATCTATTTGAAGACAATTGATTTTAAGTGGCACCAGTATTTTACATACCAATAAGAAAGGAAAATACTCTCAATTGCATTATAAAAAAATGCTAAGACATATCAACTTTTAAACAACCCCATTTCAGAGATGCTAAAATAACAAAAAAATGTGCATTTTAATATTTAACTAAATGCATAGTAATTAAGCTTCTTGAGGACAACAACCATATCTCAGTATTGCCCTTTATTGAAAATATCACTAGCCAATTGACTGAATGGGTGAACACAGTCCTGATGAAAGGAAAGGAACATAAAAGGCATCCACATACATAAGGCACACCCCATGCCCTGCTGGAATCTCCACAATGAGATGCGAAGCCCAGGAAAAACATGAACTTTGCTCGAGGTCTGTGCTGCTTTAACATACCCCTCTGACACTACGTGTCCTCACGCTGACCCTGTACCAGAGTATGGACCCCTGAGGAGTGGCCAGGCCAGCTCCATAAGAATAGCCTGTGAAACTTGTAAAAAAAAAATACAGATGGTTCAGTAAGTTAGATTGAGACCATGCATCTGTAGTTTAACACCCTCTCCAGGTGATTCTGATGCATATGCAAATTGTGGAACCACAGGTCTATTTGTCCCCAAATTATTAATCTCCCGTGATTGGTCATATGTGAAGACTTTCAGAAAATGCAGCATTTTAAGAAAAACAAACAGTGATAGACCAGTTAACTAATGCTCAGCAGGGAAGTCTCCTTTCCACGTAATTTACAGGACAAGTGTAACACAGTGTGGTAAGTATAGGACAGAGGCAAGCACAGGAGAGTTTTAATTTAAGGGATAGGAACATCCTAGAGGGCTATATGCAGATGGGCGATTCTGGTCTTTTTGATAGCCTACCTGCCCACCCCACACAGCAGATCAATCCTCACAGATAGGCCAGCTGGGTCTCAGCTATGAGTAGGTCTCAGCTGTGAACTGGCAATTCTATCTCTGGCTTTCCGATCCTCTTCCTCTACTCAACCGCTAATACTGGATTCCTCTGGGCTCTTGCGTGCTGACTGGGCTGGAGCCACACAGGTCCTCAAGCTCACCAACATGTTTCCCACCTTAGAGCCATCACAACACCGTTCCCACTGCCCACACACCTCACCGAGCTACTGCTAACTTTCCCTTCAGGACTCAGATGGAAGGTCATCCTCAGACTCCTGAATTCTACTGTAAGTTGAATCTTGTGAGACCATCCATTCTCATTGTCTAATTTTGTGGTCATGAAGTTTAGAGTAACAGAAGACCCATGGGTACTGGAGCCAGAAATTCTGACTCTCCCTCTCTCACTGGCTTTGAAATTTTGGGTGATTTATTCAGCCTTTTTAAACACTGGTTTCTTCATCTGTAAAATGGGGATAACACCTCACAGGGTAGGAGTGAGGATTAAATGGAAATAACACATTTAAATGTAGCTGGTGGTACAGTGGTTAAGAGCTTGGCTGCTAATTAAAAAGTCGGCAATTCAAATCCATCAGCTGCTTCTTGGGGCAGTTCTACTCTCTCTTATGGAGTTGCTATGAGTCAGAATCGACTCTTAAGTTTTTTTTAGTATATCCTAAAGGAATCCCTGGGTGGCATAAACAATTAAGTTCCCAACTACTAACTGACAGGTTGGCAGTTTGAACCCACCCAGAGGTGCCTCAGAAGAAAGTCCCAGCCATCTGCTTCAGAAAGGTTACAGTCATGAAAAAGAGCACAGTTCTACTCTGCAACACATGGGGTCCCATGAGTTGGAATTGACTCAACAGAACCCGTTGTTTTTTGTTTGTTTTGTTTTTGTTTTTGTAGTGTATCTTGATATATAAAAGACACTTAATAATTGTGAGTTTCCTTTCTTGCTTGATTCTAAGAAGGAATATCCTGGAGAGCTGTCATGGATTGAATTGTGACCCCCAAAATATGTGTATCAATCTGGCCAGGCCATGATTGCCAGTATTGTGTGATTGTCCACCATTTTGTCATCTGATGTGATTTTCCTATGTGTTGTAAATCCTGCCTCTATGATGTTAATAAGGTAGGATAGGCGGCAGTTATGTTAATAAGGCAGGGCTCAATCTACAATATTGTATTGTCCTCAGTCAATTTCTTTTGAGATATGAAAGAGAGAAGCGAGCAGAGAGACAGGGGGACCTCACATCACCAAGAAAGCAGCGCCGAGAGCAGAGTGCATCCTTTGGAACTGGGGGTTCCTGCGAGGAGAATCTCCTAGTCCAGGGGATTGATGAGAAGGACCTTCCTCCAGAGCTGACAGAGAGAGAAAGCCCTCCTCTGGAGATGACACCCTGAGTTTGGACTTCTAGCCTAGTAGACTGTGAGAGAATAAACTTCTGTTAGTTAAAGCCAACCACTTATGGTATTTCTGTTATAGCAGCACCAGATAACTAAGACAAGAACAGACAAATGTTGAAGTTATTGGAAAGGGACACAGCCCATTGTGAATTAATAAATAAGGACTCTGTAGGGTAACTCAGTCAGCTGTAACTTTGATTCACCTGAGTCAGTTTTCTAATATCTAACCACAATGGGACAAATGGACAAAATCCTCTACCAGATGCACTAAAAGCTGAAGAACAGACCTGTGAGGCTACCCAGCAAGGTATAGACTGAGCCACCGGACTGCTGTTACTTCCCTGCCAGAGGCGTAACTAAGATAGGGCACATGCCCAGGGCGCCGCTTGAGGAGGGGCGCTAATGAGTAGTTTCTATTGGCCATCGAAGTTTCCATCACCAGCTGTAAGAGATCATTCAGCAATTTAAAACTAATTGCCGTAGGCGCTATTTTTCCGTAGATAGGCTCCTATCCCTGGCCCCAACTTGTTGTCTCCATTTTCTCTCCACTCACCTCATTCTGCCTCCCATCAACACCACAGTATACGCACTGCCCTCACTGACCTCACCAATGATCTCCATGTTGCTAAATCCAGTGAACCCCTTTCCGTTCTCCTCTTGATTGACTTCTCAGCAGCACTTGACCCTAGGAACCCACGCCCTCCTACTCTGAATGCGCTCTTACTTTGATTTCTGTGATAACCACACTCTCTTGGGCTTCCTCTACCTCATTAGTTACATAATCACAGTCTTCTCTGCACGTTCTTTTTTTGAGACCCATCCCGTAAATGTTTGTGATCCTCAGGGTTAGGACCTGGGTTATCCCTAATGGCTCTGGAAAATCTCATCCCTGGAAAATCTCATCCATGTCTTCAGAACTAGCTATATGCTGATGACTCTCACATTTGTGTCTCCAGCCCAGATCTGCATCCTGAGTCACAGACATACATACCCAAATACCAACTGGACATCTCCACTCATATGTTTTACTGGTACTCCTAACAAAACATATCCCAAATTGTATAATACTCTTGGGCTTCCTGATGCCAGGAAATTGCTCATCTTACTTACCCTCAGCACCTCCAATAATACCCGACACAAACTGGACTCCCAGTAAGTACTTGAATGGATGAGTGATCGTCCCCCTTCTCAGTGTTCTCTGTTTCACATTACCACCATCTACCTGTTTACCCCAACCAGGAAACTAGAGTTCATTCTTTTGGTTTTAAACAGCTATGTTGAGGTATAATTGACAAACAATAAGCTGAATATATTTAATGTGTACAATTTGATAAGTTTTGATATATGTGTACATTTATGAAACTGTCACCACAATCAGAATTATGAACATTATCACTAGCAGTCATTCGTGAACCCCCTCTCCCCGCACCAAATGTACTGATTCTATCTCCTAAATACACTACAACCCATTCCCTTTCCTCCATGCCACTGTCCAGGTGGTCATTATCTTCCTCCTAGACTACTCTGACAGCTTCAGAACTTTCCTTTCTGCCTTCACACCCATACTGCAGTGAGAGTGATCTTTCAAAAACTATATATAGTATGTCTATTTTAAATTCTTGGTCTGTGGGTTCCTGTAATGCTCCTTCATGTGGTGTCTGTTATTTAGTGCTCGTCTTATATCGTGGTCGCATTCCTCAGGTGTTCCATTATTTTAGCCTGGGAGCTCATGTTTCCCCCAAAGGAATCAGCATCCTGTCCAGTAATGTATTTGGAGGATGAGCCTAATTTCAGGCTTGGGTTCGTGTTCCTTCGGGTAAGTTGAGGAGGGAAAGTGGATAGACCCCAGAACCCTGGGACAGAAACACAGAATTCCTTTTTACCACCCCTATTTGCATATTTGCTGTTATTCCATCAGGGAAATCCTCTGGTCAGAGATTCAAGGATATATATATATATAAACCCATTGCTGTCAAGTTGATTCCAACTCATAGCTACCCTACAGGACAGAGTAGAATTGCCCCATAGGGTTTCCAAGGAGCAGCTGGTGGATTTGAACTGCTGACCTTTTGGTAAGCAGCTGAACTCTTAGCCACTGACCCACTAGGGCTCCATATATATACACATATAAATATATAATATAAATATTTTATATATATATAATATTTAAGGAAAAAAAAAAAACCCAGTTGCCACCAAGTCAACTCATGGTGACCCCATGTAGAACTGTGGTCCATAGGGTTTTCTTTTTCTTTTGTTTCTTTTTTAAAAATTTTATTGTGCTTTAAGTGAAAGTTTACAGTACAAATTAGCTTCTCATTCAAAAATTTATACACAAATTGTTCTGTGACATTGGTTGCAATCCCCACAGTGTGTCAGCACTCTCTCCCTTTCCCTTTATACCCCAGGTTCCCGTGTCCATTCGCCCAATTTTCCTGTCCCTTCCTGCCTTCTTGTCTTTGCTTTTGGGCAGGTGTTGACCATTTGGTCTTGTATACTTGATTGAACTAAGAAGCACGTGTGTTATTGTTTGTTTTATAGGCCTTTGTAATCTTTGGCTGAAAGGTGAACTTTGGGAGTGACTTCAGTTCTGAGTTAGCAGGGTGTCTGGGGGCCGAAGTCTCGGGGGTTCCTCCAGTCTCTGTCACATCAGTAAGTCTGGTCTTTTTTGTTTGTTTGTTTATGAATTTGAATTTTGTTCTACATTTTTCTCCCGCTCTATCTGGGTCCCTCAATTATGACCACTGTCAGAGTGATCAGTGGTGGTAGCTGGGCACCTTATAGTTCTTCTGAGCTCAGGCTGGTGGAGGCTGTTGTTCATGTGGTCCATTAATTCTTTGACCAATATTTTCCTTGTGTCTTTGGTTTTCTTCATTTCTCCTTTGCTCTGATGAAGATGTGACCAATAGATATATCTTAGATGGCCACTCACAAACTTTTAAGACCCCAGATGCTACTTCATAAACATTTTGTTTATGAAGTATGTTATGCCAAATGACCTAGATGGCTCCCGAGACCATGGTCCCCAGCCCTCAAACCTAGGAAGATTCTATGAGTTGGGATTGGCTTGATGGCAATGAGTAGGAAGCTTCTATGACTTTGCCTTGGTCAAGTTGTGCTGACTTCCCCATATTGTGTGTTAGCTTTCCCTCCACCAAAACGAACACTTATCTACTATCTAGTTAGTCATTTCCCCTGCCCACCCAACCCCTCCCTGGTAACCATCAAAGATTGTTTTTTTCTGTGTGTAAATCTTTTCTTGGGTTTTTATAATAGTGGTCTCATACAATATTTATCCTTTTTTGATTGGCTTATTTCACTCAGCATAACGCCCTCCAGATTCATCTATGTTGTGAGATATTTCATGGATTTATCATTGTTCTTTATCTTTGTATAATATTCCATTGTGTGTGTGTACCATAATTTGTGTATCCATTCATCTGTTGTTGGGCACTCAGATTGTGTCCATCTTTTTGCTATTGTAAATAATGCTGCAGTGAACACGGGTGTGCGTTATGTCTATTTGTGTCATGGCTCTTATTTTTCTAGGATATATTCCTAGGAGTGGGATTGCTGGAGCGTATGGTATTTCTATTTCTAGCTTTTTAAGGAGGTGCCATATCATTTTCCATAGTGGTTGTACCATTTTACATTCCCACCAGCAGTGCACAAGAGTTCCAATCGCCCTGCAGCCTCTCCAACATTTGTTATTTTCTGTTGTTTTCATTAGTGCCAGTAATGTTGGAGTGAGATGGTATCTCATTGTAGTTTTGATTTGCATTTCTCTAATGGTTAATGATCCCAAGCATTTCCTCACATGTCTGTTAGCCGCCTGAATGTCTTCTTTGATGAAGTGTCTGTTCATATCCTTTGCCCATTTTTTCTTTTTCTTTTTTTATTGTGCTTTAAGTGAAAGTTTACAATTCAAGTTAGATTCTTATACAAAAATTTATACCCACATTGTTATGTGACCCTAGTTGCTCTCCCTATACTCTGACAGCACACTCCTCCTGTCCACCCCGGATTTCTCATGTCCATTCAACCAGATCCTGTCCCTTTCTGGCTTTTCATCTTGCCTCCGGACAGGAGCTGCCCATTTAGTCTCATGTATCTACTTGAGCTAAGAA